TGGAGCTGGTATTTTTTAATTAGATTTGTAACAAGTCTTTGTTCATGTGGCTAGAATCTCTGAAAAAGAAAAACATGTTGAGCGTCCTCAGCCGTTAGATAAAAGTTCTGTATCTTTGCCTCTCTGCAGGTGGTGAAATACAAGGACGTTTGCTGAGCAGAGGACAAAAGTTCACATTTACAAGAGTTTACCAGAGTTCACATTCACACACCAACTTTGAAAGTCTGCAGAATGAGCATGGATTAAATGATATTTAAACAATACATGTTAGTTTATTAATTTTTTTCACAATTTCCCCCCTTTTGTTCCAAAAGGAACAACAAAATAAGAAAACAGAGTGAATAATAAATATATATATATATATATATATATATATATATATATATAAGTATAGACTTTGAATGGGATAAACATCAAGTTCAGTGCATCACTTGTGGTTTGGCACAGGACCATCATAAACTTCAAATGGAAATTGCAAGAGCTGTTTTTTGTGGGTTACAGACCCTGTTTAAAAGCTATATGCGTACAGGTAAGAAACTTCAATTTTATTCAAAACATGAAAAATACAAAGAACTCAAAGGAGGGCATACTGTTTTAGTCAAAAAGTATTAATCATAAAATATAAAAAGAAGAAAACATAAAATTTTTATTTAAAAGCATAAAACCAAAATATGAAAGAGTAAGAAATGTCTTTAGTTCTGGAAATGTTGTCCAGTGTACTCATGGTCTTCTGGTCTAAGCCTAAGAACACAACTTTGGACGGCTAAGACTACTAAATCTAGGAATTCTAGTCTAGATGGAATGGGTGAAGTTTCAGTCATCAGGGAGTGTCCGCCTCTGTCAAAGTCAATTACAAAGATGTCATCGGTGCAGGATGTGTCAATCTCAAGAATGGATTGATGTTCTCTAACTGTAAAACGAATTTTCATTTTATTTTAAAACAAAAGTGGTGGAAATCCTAGGCGACAGTTCAGTGGATGGGCTGGGCTTTTTGATGTCAATGTCAGAGATGGATGTCGTAACTACTCCTGTAAAGGTCTTGTTTACCATGCTCTTGATGCATGGGACAACACAGGAGAAGAATAAGCAAAACAAAACTAAAAAGACGATGAGAGGGGCGCAAATTCTCAACAGAAGCTGCCACCATGAACCAGAGGTAAGCCATACCCAGAAATCAAAGGGCTGTGCGCCTTTGGTACCGCTTTCTACATAGTCTTTTAAGTGGGACAAATCTTCTAGTGCGTCATGGATGGCACCTCCATCGTGTGTTTCATCAGGGATAAATGTACAGCATACTTGACCAATTATCTTACAAACGCCCCCTTGTGAGGCCGTTAAAAGATCAAGGACAACTCTATTTTGGAGAACCATATTCCTAATTGCGTTTAATTCATTTTGAGTTCCTTTTCCTAGCATTTGTGTGGCATTAATCAGGCGGAGAAGTGCATATCTATTGATCTCTACATGGTTGCGGACTTCACCTAATCCAACCATAGGGAATACTTGTTGAAAGAATTTTTCACCACCGTTCCAAATTCTGTATTCCCATGGTACTCCCGTGCTAGTGGTCAGCCCTCCCCATCTAGTGACTTTGGGCATAGGTGAACGACGGGGTCTCTTATCGCGTGATTGTGGTGGTTGTCTTAATATGAACATTGGGTTTGTTAGCTGAACCAAAGCACATAATCCACCCCAATTTGGAGGGAGGGCGGTGTATGCCTTGTGGCCGCAAAGAAAATACCAGTCTGACAGGACCCTGGTGTTAGGACGGTACTTTTCTGTGGCCCGGTTTGTGTCTGTTTCCCTCGTGCTTCCTCGTTAGTTTCCATTGTTGCCACCTGTGTCTCGTCTCAGCTGTTGTCATCATGTCTCGTCTTCTCCCTATATTTAAGCAGTCCTATTCTGTCTTGTTCTGGTCGGGTCGTCTTCGTTGGTTCTCTCCCTTGGGTCTCCTGAGTCTTGTCCTGAGTTTTGTCCTGAGTCTGTCCTGAGTCTTCCTGGTCCCTCGAGTTCCCCGTGTCTCTCTTGTCGCCTGAGTTCCCCGTGCCTATTCATGTAAGTTTTGCTGCCCCGTCAGCCTGTTTATTTTGTACTTTTATTTACCATTAAATCATATTTTTTGTATATCTGCCGAGTTGAGTCCCTGTTCTGCACTCTGGGTTCGCTGCTAACCGCAAACTACGACACCTGGAGCCTTTATCTCCGGGAACTGAAACACTACAGCGAGTCACGTTCTGTCTGCCTTTTGTGTGCTTGTGTATGTGAAAAGTTCTTTGTGTTAGTAGTCCCTCACAATTGGTTAAATTGTAACCATCACAAGACGTACCGCTTGCGCGATTTCCGTCTGTGAAGTTTTCTCCCTCTCTGAAAAAGGTGCAGTACAGGTAAGTTGCCTCATTTCCTGTTCTGGGTGGGGGAAGATCACAGAAAGAGTATACTGTCCTACATAGGTTCCATGGGAAGGTACCTACTGAAGTAGTACCATTATTAAATACGCAATTTCCTAGTGTTTCAGGTTTTAAATTTGTTAACGTGATAATTTCTGGTAGGGTTAGTGGTATTTGGGGCAGGGGCAATACATCAGAGGTTGCAGTACAGTTGCCCTTGGGGAATCGTCCCAACATTAGCTTGGCTTGCTGGGCCAATAAATTCACATTTCTTATTAGTATAGGAGACAAAGGTAGTGAGTAATTTCGCGAGTCCCAGTTTTGTAGGCCTGGGTGAATACTCAAGCCATACAGACAAGTTGGGGGAGACTGGTTGAGTACGTAGTCCTGAATTGTGTGTGGCATAAGGCATGTGTGCGCATACATAACAATTAGTGGTGTTTCCTTTGTGAGCTGTTCTATTCATCAGTTGCCACCATAAGTTTGTGCTGTAGTCGTGTTGATGTTCATGGTCAGGTTTCAGTAAATGGGATAAGTCGCGTCGGGTGCGTGGGTGTGTTAAGTTCTGTGTGTGACAAGGTCCCTTGTCTTGAAGAAAACAAAAGTGTTGTAAGAGGAAAATAAAACCAACAACTAAAACGAAAGTGTATGCAAAGAATGCAAAAAGCTTCCACTGGTACCGCATGGAGTTCATGATGGTTGTTTGTCTGTTGGGTATCAAACGTCTATCTGTTCTGCCTGCCTGATCAGTTGGAGGGTCTAGGTACCCCGCCGCCCTCACTGTGAGCCTGAGCTCTATCAGTGGGTGGTGAACGTGAGTGGCGTAGATCCCCCGTGGGTATCAAGCCATTCAGACTCCGATACTTGTTGCACCCGCGGTGGCACCCAGCTCTTAAGCTCTGGTGCTTCTTTTCCTCTGGGCTAGTTCTCGATATCCTGGTTTCCGTCCGGTTGAAGAGGGGCAATGGGGATGCTGCCTCACCTGGTTTTGACGCCAGTGAGTGTGCTGTCCTGGCTCTGTTAGGTTTGGTCGTGGCCTAACAGACCGCTGCCTCAGCTACCCGTTGGTGCTGAGTGACTCTTCGGGCAGTTGCCCTGGTCTTTCCTGTCCTTTGCTCCTCTGGTCTTCTCCTGATGGTAGAGTGATCCCTTTGAACAGCTTACAGTGGGAGGCGTGGACCCAAGTAGTTCTCTCAGCCACCTTCACAGCTGTGTGGGTGGTCAGCAAAACCTGGAACGGTCCAGTCCACCTGGGAGAGTTCCAGCGCCTTCTCCTGAAACATTTAATTATAACAAAGTCTCCAGGAGAAATACAGTGCAATTGCTTTTGCGCAGGTGTAGGGAG